AATCCCAGCTGCCCCCAGCCCCGCCGAGCGCCCTCGCCAAAGGGTCCTGCTGCCTCCCGAGACCTTGGGACAGGGCTGCATGTACCTCGAGACCTCGAGGCAGGGTTACATGCACCCCAAAAGCTCGAGGCAAGGCTGAGTGCGCACCTAGACCTCCCGGTAGGGTCCTCAAGACCTCAAGGCAGGGCTCAATGCACCCTGAGACCTCGTCCATTCTCAAGGCAGGGTTGCATGCACCCCAAAACCTCCCAGGAGGGTTGCATGGCACCCCAAGACCTTGGGGCAGGGTTGCATGCACCCTGAGACCTCGAGGCAGGGTTGCATGTACCCCAAGACCTCTGGGCAGGGTTGCATGCACCCCAAGACCTCACGGCAGGGTTGCATGCACCCCGAGACCTCGAAGCAGGGCCATATGCACCCCCAGACCTCGGGGTATGGCTGCACGCACCCAGGATCTCCTCCCTCGGCAGGTGGGGACTCCCCCTGCGTGTCCCCGTCCCACTGGGGCTGCAGGAGCTGAGCCGGGGGCCCCTCGAGCGCCGTTCACTTTATTTATGGTGTGGCATATGTAATATTGTCTATTTTTCTTACGTTTCCTGAGAAGAGGTAATATATGAGTATTGCAGATGCACCTGCTGCGGGGCCACTGCTCTTGTTGGTGTCTGAGCCTTTTCCTCCCCTCCCCGCCATGCGTGTCCGTCCGCCGGCGCCGCTCCGGGCCCTGCTCTCTACCTCCGCCTCACCGGGAAACCGCAGGCAAGAGCATTTACACAGCGGCTCTGCTCTCGTTTCGCTTCCTTTCTGGTTTGCTTTATTTTATTTTGCTTTCTTTTAATAAGAATAAAAATACCCTAAAGAACCTTGCATTGAAACCAAAAGCGGGGGGAGGGAGGGGACGGGCGGCGCGGCGCTCGCGGGCGGCCAGCCCCAGATAGACAGCTTTAAAGAGTGATATTCCCAAAAATTAGCAACGAGGGGAGGGCAGCGGTGCGGGTGCAGCTGCTGGAGGGGGCTCACAGGGGTTGTGCTGGCCCCGAAGCCTCTGGCTAGAGGGGCTGGGAGGGACATGGAGGAGGCAGCTGGAGCGGGGTGAAGCCTTTGCCGTGCATTCCCATCCCAAATCCCAGCTGAAACCAAAGTGCTGCCCCAGGAAGCAATGCAGAGCCCTCCTCCCCCTGCCCTGCGCCTCGCCGGGCAGCCCTGGCCAGGGCTTCACTCACTCCGCGCTCCTCTCCTCTGGCTCACGGCCACCAGAGCATCCCCGGAGCAGCGCCCTTCTCCTCCCGGATCCCATTCGGGGCTCCGCGCGTGGCTGCCCCAGCTCCAGCAACAGGGATGCTCCCGCGGGCATCGGTGCGGGGATGCTCAGCACAGGGATGCGGGCCGGGGCGCTGGAAGCCGGGGGGGGCTGCCCTGTCGTGCTCCCCCCGCCAGCCCAGAGAGATGACGTGATAGGACTTTCCTTCGGCATGCTGTCCCCCCCACCCTTTGCTGTTTCCTGCTTTCTCTAAGTGTACTGTATGTTTGACCTGTGCAAGATGTAAACTTTATGATTCAGGTTCTGTCTGTTCTTAACTCTGTATCTGTGTAATAAAGACAATTTAATATCACCCGGAGGGCTCCACAGCCTCTGCTTGTGCTGGGCCCTCGCGCACCTCCCGCCTCCAGGGTGTCCGTATGTCCTGGAGGTGGTGTGTCCCCCCACACCTGCCTCTGGGACAGGTTGTCTGCAGCAGGTGACACTGCGGGTTGCAGATTCCCCCAGGAATCCCCCATCCTGCACCCTGTTGCAAAGGGATTTTTTCCCCCAAGATGCTGCACCTCTCCTCGGGCTATCCTCTTGCAGGGCAAGGGGGGGTCCCGGGGCCTGGGGCAGCGTGCGCGGTCCCCTGCTCAGAGAAACAGCAGCGATGTCCCCCAGCTTGGCCACCATCCGTGGCGACCGGGCCAGCGGGGCCGGCGACCCCGGGCCGGGGACTCGAACCTGCGTCTCCGAGGAGGGCAGCACCGCCCCCGCGCGGCCCCCGCGGCGCGCCGGCGCCAAACGCGCACGTGGCGGCGGGAGATTCGCGCGTGGCGACGCTCCGCCGGATCCGAGGAAGACGCAGCATGTTCGGGGCCCGGGCGAGGTAGGGGGCACCCCTGGGGACCCGGCGCTGTGGGCTGGGCCGGGGGTTGCTGGACTGGATCTGGCTCAGGGGGAGGTGCTGGAATTCCAGGCTCTTGGCTGGAGAGTTTGTTGTTTTGTGGGCCCAGATTAGGAGCTGAAACCTGGAAGTATGTGGATCAGCCTTTCATTGGGTGAGGCAGGAATCCCTGCTGCTCTGTGTATACAGCCTAGGAGCTCTCCTGCTGGCACAGGTTCTGCCTCCTCTTCGCTTCCCTTGACCTTAGTGAGGTTATAATACTTGGGCTTCCCAGTGCTTTCATACCCTTCCATACTGGGAAGTGGTTCAATACATGTGAACCAAACAGTCTTCTGTAGGCAAGACTCCTGCAGTCCTGGAGTCTTGCTGCAAGCCTGCCTGCAGCTCTGGGAATGAACTGCTTTGGGTGCTGTTCTCCCCTCTGGGGGAAGTGCCCTCAAAGCCTTTGCCTGGTTGGTGTTCTACTTCAAGATCTGTGTTAAGCTATTCCTTCCTTATTGCTGTGCTTCCTACCCAGCCCTCTCTTTCTGGACACTTCTGGAATCTGGTGGCAGGACCCACCATCCTTGGCAACAGTGGAGGAGCCCTGGGATGTGACAGAGATGACAACTCTGCAGAAGGCTGCAGAGAAAGACTTAGACCTGAGCCACTCGGAGGGGGACATTGTGGAGGTGCAGGATCCAGTGAGTGTTTGGTGAATTGTGAAACCCATTTTCATTATTTTTTCTAAGAAAATGGCAAACTCTACCCCTCTGTTCAATCACTCCCCAAAGTTAGGAATAAGAGTTATCTTGCTTATGGTGCCCATCATCAAAGCTGTAACTGAACTGTCACTCCCCTGATATGGAGCTTCCCCATCAAGCTATGTCTGCCTGAGCTTAAGTAAATGGCTCCTGATTGTCACCAGTTTGAATTTCCGGTTGCATTTGGCGGTCCCAGTGCTGCTGGGGCATCTCTGCTCCAGCAAATGCTCTTTTGCAGCTAAATATGAGAAAGGAAGTGTGTGGCATTTTCCATTCTTCTCTTATGGAGCTAAGACCTGAACTTCCCTTTGAGGGAACTGCCTTCCCTTGAGGCAGTTGTTGTCCGGAGACCCTATCCCACCCTTGTCCCCGAGCCTGGGTGTGCTAGAAAGGTGCCTGTGCAGGGCCGTGACGTTGCAGTCTGAGCTGGGGAGTGGGATGAAGGTCCCTGCTGCACATGCTGCTGGCACAAGTCTTGGTTTGCGTTCCAGGAGTTGGAGGCCATCAAAGCCAAAGTGCGGGAGATGGAGAAAGAGGATGAGAGGCTGAAGGAGTTGCAGCTGGAAGCGGAGAGACACTTCCTCATGAGCTCGGAGGCAGGTACGGGCTGTTGCTGGGTGCTGTTCCCTTCACTCTGGCCTTCAGGTGTCCATCAGAACTGGATTGTGCAGCTCTGCCTCTCGGCACTCTAGTGTCCTGTTAGCTGCAGACTGCATGTGTCCTTAGCAGGACATAGTGCTGATTTGCATTATATCCATTCTTGTCTCCCACCTCCTCAGGCCAAAATTCAGTAAATTAATGAGATTGGTAGCAGCAGTTGCCCTGTGTCTTTTTTCTCCTCCCCCGTCTTTGGAGAGAGAAAAGCCAAAGGGTGGAGGATGAGGCTGTTGTAGGTCATTTGGGAATGCCCAGACCTGAACAGAAGCATGGACATGGGGAGCTTGTGGTAATCAGGACCAGGAGAGCATGGAGCTGCTTGGTGTCAGCTGTGCAAGAGGGCTCCTGCTTCTCCTCCCAGTGCTTCAGGGCAACCCTTGTCTCTGCAGGTCTGTTCCCAAAGACGACCGAGGAGAAAATAGAGTCTGACCAGCGATCCATCTATGTGGGCAATGTAAGTGGGAGCCACACATGCTGTTCCAAATCCTGGACTTGGGTTTCCAGGCCAGGTGATTAGGGTGATGCCACTGCTTCCCTGGGTTACATCCTGCATCGCAGTGGTGTCCTGGGGGCATAGGTGATACAGAGCCAAGGTGACACTCAGGCTTAGAAAAGACCCCTCTGGGTGAGTCCCTGCTGGCCTTAGCTTGCTCAGGAGACAGCAAGGCCTTAGCTAAGGATTAGCTGGGTGCTGGTCTGGGCCATCCGGATTGTGCCCCTTTCCTTGTAGGCAGAGGTGGCATGTGACAGTGCAAATCTGGGTGCAGTGGTGACATGAGTGTGCTAGTGAGGATTTCCCTGCTGTTGGGAAAGATAAGGTGTGTTCACAGAGGGCCCTTAAGGGCTTCCCTTGCTCTGGAGAGCTGAGGCTGGGGCTGGCGGAGGGTCTTGGTGGTGCTTGAGGGGCTGGGCCTGGGCCTGTTGTTGCAGGTGGACTATGGTGGGACTGCAGAGGAGCTGGAGTCTCATTTCAACAGCTGTGGGCAGATCAACCGGGTGACCATCCTCTGTGACAAGTTCTCGGGACATCCCAAAGGGTCAGTATGATGCATGGGGCCTGATTTGGGGTGGGCTGGGGATGCCTAAGGGTGCTACCCTGGGTCAGACCCTGCACCCCAAGGCTTTGGGAGCAGGCGTGTGTCCTGCCTTGCTGTGTGCTGTGGTTTGAGGTTGTTCCTCTCCACCGGGTTGCTCTGCAAACAGCCCTGCTGGCCCCAGGGGAGGAGGTGGTTCCTCCAAAGCTGCCAGCTCCAGGGCTGCAGCCCTTTGCCCGAGATGCAACTCAAGCTCGATTGAAACCCCCAGTGCAGAGAAGGGGGTTGTGCTCCAAACCATGCTGTGGGTTAGTGGTCTTGGTGCAAACCCTGACAAAAAAGCTCTCAAAATGAGGCCTCCCAGGCATCAGCCCTATGCATTGCCATGGGCCCTATAGAAAGAGTTGCTGAGACCCTGGAAAGCAGCACAGTGTCCCACAGCTGTGTGCAGAGGGCAGGACCTGGTGCTGCCTGCACCTGGGTTCTGTGCCCCTTGGCCTGGGGAGGGTCCCCAGGTGGAAACCAGTGCTGGTTCATTCGGATGTTGTGTGGAGGGCAAGAGCCTGACCTCCTTCCAGGCCCTGCGGAGAGGTGTGTGTCGATCCATGGCCGCTGCCTTCCTGCAGCGTGTGTCCTGGCTGCTCCTCCATTGCTCTTTCCCCGAGCGCTACGTTTGCTGCAGTGCTCAACACCACTGCATGGTGATGGGTGGTCCAGGCCCTGGTTGCATGGAGCAGCTTTGCAGTGGGGAGCCACCTGAGCCATCTCCTGGGAGCCACCAGCTGGCTTGCAGGAGCCCTGTGGCACCTCTGGATGTGCAGGTGGATGGGGAAGGGACTGGTGGCAGTCACTCTGCAGTGCTCACGCCTCTGCTCTTACAGGTATGCATACATAGAGTTTGAGGAGAAGAGCTCTGTGAAGGCCGCGGTGGAGCTGGACGAGAGCGTGTTCAGAGGCCGTCTCATTAAGGTAGGAGCTGGAGGAGGCCCTGGGATGGTTCCTCTGTCTCCCAGCCCTGGAGAGCCGGCAGCAATTGAGGTGCCTCTGCTTTCCAGGTGCTGCCCAAGAGAACCAACATGCCGGGCATCAGCAGCACCGACCGCGGCCGGTACCGCGGCCGCTTCCGTGCCCGGGGAGGCTACTACGGCGGGCAGTACCCGCAGGTGCGAGGGAGGATGTACAGGTGAGTGGATGCAGGGGCAGGGGTCTCGGCACGCTCGGACCAAGCAGGATCCCGTGGGGCAGCTCCTGGATGCTGGGAGAGCTGGTGCTGCACAGGGCTCTGCAGCCTCCCACCGGCACGGGGAGGAGGGAGAAGGGCCCTGCCAGGAATCTCCTCCTGGAGGTCTGTGCTAGAAATGTCTCCTGCTGTCTTGTGCTGTTAGTGTCACCCACTGGCTGCATCCAGCTGGCCTCATGGGGCTGTAGGCAGCTGAAATTGGAAAGGACAGAAGTGAGCAGCCAGCGATGGCCCAGCAAATGGGTGCCCAGGGCTCGTGGCACCTGCAAGAGCCTGTCTGCTGCTGCCACCACACTGTCCCTCGTGTCCCCAGAGGGGCCTGGAGCTGCTCTCCATCACTGAGATATGGTGCTGTGTGTGTTCCTGCCTAGGGGTCGGGCAAGACTGTGGCCTTGGTATTTTCCGTACTAGAAGGAGAACTGGACTACCCTGGTGCTGCCAGCGGGATTGAAAAGAAGAGATGGGATTGGAGAGATTAAAAAAAAAAAAAAAACTGCCAAAGCCAAAAAAAGATTAATTTTAAAATACCATCTGCCTGGCCATGAGGATTACTCGGGAGGCAATCGCGTGCTGCGCAGCTGGAGCGCCGAGCTGTTGAAGGGAGGCCGATCTGTTCTACCTGCGCCTCGGCCAGATCCCTGGCAGCTCGGGGGGGTTGGGGGCACCTTAGGTTTGCTTAAACTGCATTTTTATATTGGAAACAGTCTCACTCCTGCCAGAGAGGATCCTGATCCTGGGAAAAGAGCCCTTGCAGACCATCAGTTTGATCCCCCTGCCATAGCAGAGGGCTCTATCTGAGCATTTGGCCTTTATGGGTTTATTTTTCATAGCTTGCTGTTGTTCTACATCAAGGAGGGGAAAAGCATTTCTGGTTATTCCTCTGTAAGCCTCTGCTGGGGTTATTCAAGACCTGGTTGTCAGCAACCCCTTTTTCCTCCCCTTGCTTTTATTTGGAAGCGAGGGGGAGAACAAGGGGTGCAGCTAACATGTCTCCATTTCTGGTGGTAGCAGCATTTCGGAGTAGCCTCCACTGTGGTGAGTTGGGCTCTGATCTCCCTCTTTACTCCTGTCATCATTCCTGGTCTTATCCCCATTTGGGAATCAGTATGACCTCAGCTGAACTAGTGGATTGGGATAAAGCACATGGAAGGAGTCTGCTGGTAGGGAACTTGGGCTGGCACTTGCCCTTGCTGCTGGTGTTGTCTTTGAGCACTGCAACTGCTCATTTTTAAAGGAAAAAATATTTGTGTTAAAAGAGGAGGCCTGGGAATTCCAGCCAACAGTGTTACTGTGTTAAGTTCTGCATTAAAATAAACTTTATTATGTAATTCTTGAACTAATCTTTCAGGATCCTGGTCTAGGATTCATCTAACCTAGATGCAACTTCTTACTTCTAAAGCAGCTTTTTCACAGCTCAAGGGACACTGGCAGACTAAAACTCCTGCTGACTTTTTCTTTTCTTAGTACCTCAGGGGTTTCTAAAGCTTGGTGCCTTAACTCTTGATTTTGCACTTTCTGCAGTATGGGCCATGCTGGTGAAGCTGGCCTTGCTTTCTTGATCCAAGCTACCTCTAGGCTCAGACTGTAAAATCTTGTTTTTCTAGGACTTTAAACTTTCTATTAATAGGTTTTGTAAATTCTCGAAGCTTAATTTTTTTATCAAAAAAATATTTGAGTGTATGGACTACCCTGTAATGGCTTGTGGAAGAGGAAATGCCGAACTCCAGTCTCCACAAGTGAAAAGATTGAACACTTTTATATAGACATATTTCAGAATAGCCATGTACAGCTATGCCTTGTTTAGATGGTGGGAGAGGCTCAAATATTTTAATCTCCCATTATTTGACAGGTTGTTGTTGAGTAAATGTATTTAAGTTCTGTTTGAGAAGGTATTGTAAATGTCACTTATTTTTAAAATAAATGATCCTGCTGTGTGAACTTCATCTGCAGTGAGACCACACTGGCTGTGAGCTGACACAGCACTGACCTAGCTTTTTCCAGGCTCCTTGTATCCTTTGGAGCTACATGTATATATTTTTGTGTTTTCTGTGTGTTTAACTGATTAGGTGCTGGTATCATAGACTCAAGTGTTGGAAGCGGCATGTGCTGGGTTTCAAAGAGTGAATGCAGTGAGCTGTTCTGGGGGAGCTGCTTCAGCTTAAATGTGGCAGGAGGAGTTTGGGTGCTGCCTGGTCAGCCTGGGTGACCAGAGTAAGGCTGTGTGGGCAGAGAAGAGCACATGGAGCAGGAAGAAGGGTGGCTCAGAAGTGCTGAGGAGCTGCCAGCACCTGTGGCCTCTGCTGACCTGGCTGTAGCTGCAGCCTCATGTAGTGTTCACAAGTGACTAAGAAGCTGGGATGTGTATTTGTTTCTCCTGCCTTATATTTCTGTGTAAATACCTGATTTGGTGGTCTTGAGTTAAAACAGCAGGGAGCTGCAGTAGGAGGTGATGCTAATGGAGATCAGTCTGGGATGAGTCAGGTGGCTGTGTGATCCTCATGTCTCAAATCCATGCCAAGAGATTATCTCACCTGCACTACCTGTGCTCCCTGACCTGCCCTAGAAATACTGCCACAAGTGTAAGTGGGCACCTGAATGAGGTGAAAAGTGGTAAGAGGAAACAGTCAGGTGCAAGTCATTCCAAAAAAATCTTGCCTAGGGGGACAAGATCCATGTGGGACTTGGTCATGTTCAAGGTACTTGGAGACCAACTGCTTGCTCTGTTTGCCAGAGCTCTGAGTACATGAACAGGGGCTGGTTATAAAGAAATGTGGAGCCTTTGGCTGACCTATGCACTGTTCCCTCTTTCCAAGAACTACTGGACTAAGCACATAGATCTGAGTGGTCCTGGCTAGGGAAAAATGGGACAGAGAGACCAAATGTTTGGAGGACGTATTGCTCATAACATTCCTACTGGAATGAACAGCCTGGAGTAGCAAAGGGGCTGGCGAGCAGCAGTGTGACTACTTGTTGCTGGTGTGCACCTTCAATGTTAGAACTGCTCTGAAGCACCAGTGTTGGAAGAACAGTTGTTGCTAGCTGTGCCTTTCAGCTGACTGAAATCTAGGTTGATCCCAGTAATCTCTTAGCTATCTCT